CCACTCTCTCTAAAAAACCAATAAGAAAAAAATCTTCCTTCTTTGGGTGAGGATCAATATAAAAAATAAAATAAAAAATAAGTATTATTTTTAAAGGATTGTGTCTTAGATATAATCATATGGGACAAGTACTTGAGTCCAAACCTATGACTTCTTCTACATTTCCCTTAAAACTTTTAAAGCATTAAGGAAATTAAAAAGGAAAGAACCACACTACAAAACAGGAAGGTGTTCACAGAACATCACTAGCAACAGCAGTCAACCCAATGCACACTCAGCTCTCGGCCTCCATTCCATCTCCTCTCTTTCCAGCCAAAGGCTTCACTTAGATAATTTGATTCTGAATAAATTAGGTCAACAACATACCTCAGTTTAATTTACTTTTCAAGGATTCTAGTTACTGCTTGGTTGTTTATAACACCAAATCTTTGGGTGGATGACATAAGTACTCTATTTCAAAAAGTGGATACATTATTAATAAAAAATGTATCCTATCTCTGAGCGTGGGATCACATCGCATTAATATTACATAGACTACTTACATAATTTCATGCTATAAGAAAACTATGTACTTTTTGTTTATAATAACAGAATATAATAAAGGCTTTTATTATTTCTCAAGTGATTTGCTTGAAATGTTTACTTTATTACATAAACTATTTTATTATTCTGCTGCTGTTTATTCTCTTAGCAAATAATCACTTATATTAAAAACATCTATAGATGGAAGGATGGGGAATTGGAAGAAGGTGATCAAAACGTACAAGCAATTATAGATGTTAGCTGATCCTATTGTGGTAATCATTTCATAAGTAAATCAAGCAATCATGCTATGTGCCTAAAATTTTTATAGTGATGTATACCACTATGTCCTAATAAAACTGGAAAGCATAAAAACAAAAATAACATCTAAGATATATGGAGTTGAAAATCACTTGACCAAGAATGGACTTTGTATCTTACAACTTATCTGACTACTCCTGTCTGCAATTAACTGGATTTTTGAATTAATGAATGAGCTTTTTGCAATTAATGGGTCCACTGACAATTTTTTATTACATCTTTTAAATGAATGACTTGGCTACAAGATTAACTAGCTTCATTCATGAATAAACTATCCAGTCTTTGCCATGAACTAAGATTCATAATTCTTTTAAAGTAGGGTCACATTGATCAGCATGTGCTCCACTATAAATTGGTAAAGAAGTAAAGAGATTCTGAGGTAAGGGCTGAAAATTAATCATTACTAAGGGGAATTCAACAAGGTTCACTGAAATCCACTGATATTTACAAAATATCAGAAACCAATGCTAGTATTTAAGATAGATGGATTAAACCTCAGTATTTCAAAGAAGGTTTAGCTTAAGCATGCTAAATCATGGAATCATAAGGAACAAAATAGCCATGGTACTTGAAAATCCTATATAATAAAAGCCTAATATGCTAAGTGTCTGGTCATCAGATCGTTCGTTCAACCAATCAAAGTGTATTATGCAAATAACCACCAGATGAGCAGACACTCCGACCGGTAGGTTAGCTTGCTGGTGGGGTCCAGCCAATCAGGACTGAGCGAGATGGGCCCGACACTCCCTGGAGCCCTCCTGTGGTTGCTCCTTGGATGGCCAATCTCCCATGTCCCTCCCCAGCCCCAATCATGCACCGGTGGGGTCCCTTGGCCTGGCCTGCACCCTCTCACAATCCAGGACCCCTTGGGGGATGTTGGAGAGCCAGTTTCATCCTGATCCTGCAGGCCAGGCAGAGGGACCCCATTGGTATATGAATTTGTGCACCGAGCTTCTAGTGTCTGCATAAAACCCTAGAAAGGATATTCTTTCAAAAGAATTAGAAAGTTGTGGAAATATGTCTTGCTTTATTAGTTGGGTTTGTTCTCTGAGGTTTTTGGTTTTTTTTTTCTGACTAGAAAAATATCAAGCAATCTAAGCATCTAAATTAGCACCATTACTATTTAGATAGAATATAACACAGGTATAATTTGGTCTATTTTGATTTGCTTTGAAAATATTACCATATCTTCTATATTATGTAGGAATATTCCACCTAAATAACTTTATAAACACATTTACAGCTTATGTAGTAAATATTATCATAACAACCATTCCCTGAAGTGACTGAAAGAAGTCATTAAATTGCAAATTCTAGAATATCAAGGGGAAATGTTTTGTTTTAAATACAAATAGTTTAGAAGCTCATTTAAAAGCACGTAAGACTTTAGAAAGAATAGAACAAGTATAGCTTAGACCTAACAAATTATTTTATAGATTTAGCTCTATATCAAATATAATTCGCCTTTTTGTTTTTCATACTGCGACTGTGTAAGCATAAGAGTAAAAAACCTCCTATATTTCAAGCATTTCTACATAAACCACTGTACACAATCTTTCAATAGCAACTCCATGTCTCTTAGTTTTCAAAGTTCTTTAAAAAATATGTTTTACTTTGTACAGCCAGGAAGCAGCCTGTTTCCAAAACTAAATGTAACCTCAACCTTTTGCCAAGGAAATCCCTTTACCTCCAGAGAAAATAATTTCCTTGACAAAAGGTTGGCTTTCCATTTACCCTTTAAAAAACAACAACACATACTTCTCTTATTATGAATGAAAAATAGTCACAGAGGCATCTTTTGGGTCAGAAAAAAAGAAAATGAAAGTCGCAAATAATTTTACGTATTTATACTAAATACATATTTTTACAAATACAAAATTCTACAGCTAATTATATTAAAACTATTTCCAGTTTATAATTGGTGGTAGAAAAGTTACAGATTTACCTACATGTCACTTAACCAGCAATCAGTGATTAACATGTTGAACTATCCAGACATAAGAAATGAACAACAGAACGTACTTGACCGTCAGGAAAGGTGGAATGTTCCAAAGTCCATATGCTTTACTCACAGAAATTCTTATTCTGCTCATACCTTTCTTATTTAAAACCAATCCTAGTACCAGTCTACAAACACAAATATGAAGTAGGCACTTCAGAAACATTAACATTAATCCTCCTAGCAACTCTCATAATTTAATCCTCATTTTATATATCAAGAAATTGAGACCCAGAGGTTAAGTAACAGTTTGTAAATGGCAGAGACATGGTTGGAATTTAAGGGTTTCTCACTTCAAAGCTTACGTTCACTTTTTAGCAGAAAAGCTAAAGGATGTTTTCGGAGCTAATCAGAATGGGGGAACGGGATGGCCAAAAGCAGGCAATGGAGTAACAGGAAAGAGAATTAGGGAAGAAACAAATAGAAAAACACGAGTAAAGAGCCAAAATGAAAAGTCGAAAAGCATCACCATTAGTGGCTTTAGTGTAGGAACAAATAGCTCCCCATACACGAGCTTTGGGGGACTTCACTAAACTAATAAACAGTGAAACCATAACTATTAGTCATAACAACAGTCTGTGTCATCAAGAAAAAACACACACCGTTTTGTTCAGGATGTTGTGTTAATAAGGCAGGAAGGTAGAAAATATATTTTAAACAGAGAAGTTTTTAACCTAGTGGTTAAGATAAAAATGTTAATACTCAAGAGACAAAATTTAGCTATCAAATAATTAATTTGCAGTCTCCTTTCTCCAAGGACCCCAGATGTAACAGGTATTACAATAATGTTACTTAAAGTTACTTAGGTTTTTATGTATATACTAGAGACCCAGTGCACGGATTCATGCACCAGTGGGGTCCCTTCGGCCTGGCCTACAGGGATCAGGCCAAAACTGGCTCTCTGAGAGAAACTGGGTCCTGGGTTGTGAGAGAGTGCAGGCCAGGCCAAGGGACCCCAACGGTGCAGGGTTGGGGCTGGGGAGGGACCGCGGGAGGGCTCCAGGGCATGTCTGGTCCATCTTGCCCAGTCCCGTCTGGCCAGACCCCAGTTGCAAGCTAACCTACTGGTCGGAGCATCTGCCCCCTGGTGGTCAGTGCACGTCATAGCTACCAGTCGAACAGTCACTTAGGCTTTTATATATAGACTAGGGGCCTTGTGCACGAAATTCGTGCACTGGTTGTGTGTGGGGGGGGAGTGTCCCTCAGTCCAGCCTGCCCCCTCTCACATACTGGGACCCCTCAGGCGTTGACCCCCATCACTCTCCAATCGCAGGATCGGCCCCTTGCCCAGGCCTGACGCCGCTGACAGAGGTGTCAGGCCTGGGCAGGGGACCCTCATTTCCCCCCATCACTGGTTCTGCCTCCAGCCCAGGCCTGATGCCTCTGGCCCAGGCACCAGGCCTAGGCAGGGGACCCCCAGTCCCCTGCCCAAGCCTGATGCCTCGGCCAGAGGAGTTGACCCTCATCACCCTCCGATCACCAATCACCGGATCAGCCCCTTGACCAGGCCTGAGGCCTCCGGCAGAGGTGTCAGGCCTGGGCAGGGGAGCCCCAGCTCCCCGCGGTTACAGGCTCCGCCCCTGCCCAGGCCTAATGCCTCTGGCCAAGGCGTCCGGCCCGGGCAGCAGGGACCCGCAGTGGCAGCGGGGGGCGGCGTGATCGCGCAGGCTCCGCCCCTGCCCCTGCAGGATGCCTCTGGCTGAGGCATCCGGCCCGGGCAGTGGGGACCCGCAGCTGCAGCGGCCCCGCGATCGTGGGCTCTGCTTTAGGCCCAGGCAAGGGACGCCTAGCTCCCGGGACTGCCAGCTTCGACTGTGCCCAGCTCCCATCGCTGGCTCCACCCCTACTTCCTGTTATCACTGGCCCGGGCGGCAAAGGCGCCTGATTCTCCGATCATGGCTGCCCCCAGCTCTTAGCTTCCCCCTGGGTTTCCGATCACTGTCAGTGGCAGGGGGCTTCTTCCTGCTTTCCCTTTCGCCTCCCTGCATTGTGCCTACATATGCAAATTAACCGCCATCTTGTTGGCAGTTAACTGCCAATCTTAATTGGCAGTTAATTTGCATATAGCCCTGATTAGCCAATGAAAAGGGTAGCGTCGTACGCCAATTACCATTTTTCTCTTTTATTAGTGTAGATGCTTTAGGCCATAGGGATATGTGTGGCAGAACTTCAAAATTCAATTGTTATGGTGGTTACTAATTTGCATGAGCTTATAACTGCTTTCTATTATCCTCAGAGAGCAATTATAAGATTCTTACATCTTAACTTCCAAAGATTTCAGAAGAAAAAAGAGAACTTTTAAAAATTGAAACTAAGCCCTAGCAGGCTTGGCTCAGTGGATAAAGCATCAGCGTGGACCGAAGGGTCCGAGGTTTGATTCCGGCCAAGGGCACATACAAGCCTGGTTTGTGGGCTCGATCCCCAATAGGGGGCAAGCAGGAGGCAGCCGATCAATGATTCTCTCTCATCATTGATGTTTCTATCTCTCTCTCCTCCCTTTCTCCCTGAAATCAATAAAGAAATATATTTTTAAAAAAATTGAAACTAAAAGTTACTTGGATAAATCATAATGTCAATTGATCTAGTGACTTTTGTTGCTGGTTACCTAAAAAGCAGTTTATTTGGATATCTTAGCAAGACTAAATTTAGCTTGGATTATACACAAAATGAACATACAATAAACAGTTGTTGAGTGAATGAATTTTGAAAGAAATGGTAAGGCAAATACAAATGCTGCTGCTGCTGCTGCTGCTAATGATCATATTAGGACAACACGAATTTCTAAATGTGGTATTTTATTGTTTCATATTTGGATGTGGTCTTTCCATAGAAGTGAATGATATGGGCACTATGCTCATGTTTATTTAGGAAGTGCTTTTGAAATTCAGCCCATTAATTCCCTTTTGTTTTCAGACTCTGTTTTCCAATCACCCTACAAAATTTTAAATTTATTTTTCAGAGAGTCTTGCCTGAGAAAAGTTGTTGCTGATCAGAAGGGTTGAAGTCCCTGTGTAGTGGGTAGCATTAGAAATTTAGTCCTAAAACAGCTAGATAGGGATCTAGGCTTTAACATTCAAATGCTGGTTAGAGTGATTCTCTTTCAATCCAATGTTCTTAAAGATTTTCTTATTTGAGAAGGGTTTTAGATTCTTCTAACTCATTCTTCCACCATGCAGAGCATTTTAATCCATCATCCTTGACAGGTTGTTCTCGGACCTCTGCTTCAGGGTACTGTCTCCTGGAGCTTTGGAGATAACTTTATTCCATGACGTACAAGCTCTAATTACTGGGAAGTTTCCCTTTATGCTGAACGAAAATCTTTCTTTGGCATAGCTACTCATGGGTCCTAAGCCTAAACCTTTTACAGCCTTTTAGAAATGTCTTGTGCTACCTTTAAATAGAGCCACTGTTCTGAGGTGACATCTTTATTGGAATTCATCAAGCACTGAACCTAGGTCACATATATTCTGAGGAATAGAGCAGTGAAGGCTATGCTTGTGTAAACATGACATTTACCTGATCTGCCCTGTTGATCCTATCTGTAACCCTCAAAAGAGAAGAAAACAACAACACTGGATTTCCAAATTTTATAGAGTCAGAATTAGAAAAGGCCAATTTCCAAACTCAGAACTAATGGAGCCAATATTAGAGCACCTTGGCTGCTGTTCAAATCCACATACCTGAAATTGCCTGGACTGTGGACATCTGTTTTAATGGAGTTGACTGCATACTCTGGCCTGTAGGTCCCACACCACACCTAGGATAGGAATAGAAAAAGGAAATTTTGTGCTTAAGTTTAATCAAGGATACTAGTTACTTGTTTCGGCAGGCCGAGAAAAAAGCAAACTTCCTACTGCAAAAATTAAATTGGAATTCCGCATTCCTTAACCATTTACTCTTTAAATACTGTTCAGTGATAGGCAACGAGGAGCATAATTATCATTGATATAATCTGACAGTCTGTTATACACAATAAAACTTAGTCAAGTCAAACGATCTGCCACAATTGATTAAATCAAGAAAACTCAGCATGCATTATCTAACTTACTATAAAATTATAACTCAAAATGGTTTTCATATCTATCAATCAAGAATGGTAGCATACCTGAGCAAAGTTCAAAAAGAAGAGTTGTTTGTGATTTAGGCCAAGTCCAGGAAGTAATTTTTCTTTGCCATTCTTTTTAACATAATTTTGATAGGCCTAGGCAGTTCGTGAAACAGAAACATGATGTTTAGCATTTACAAATTTATATACAAATCTATGCAAAAGACCATGTAACAGGTAATTAGCTTTTTGTATCAGAATCATCATAATATACTTAGATATGGCAACCTACAACTATTTTATGGATTAGAAAGAAAACTAGAATTCACTTACAAATGCTTTGAAAAAACAGGATAATGATTAACAAATGAGAAGAGTTCAGCACACATCAAATGACCAACAAATGTCAGTTATCAATGGATGACTTAAATAAGCAATGAAAAGCTTATGTAAATGTTGTTCTACTGATAGATGGATAAGTCTAGCTAGTTGGAAGAATGAATTGCCAAGAGAGTCTGTAATTGCTATATTTAGCTTAGTTACTACTCTTAGCAAAATATACTCATAGCAGACTTTGTTTGGGTGATTCTTGCCAAAAGTTAAGGGATTCTCTTAAGATCCATTAGAGGCCTAATATCCTATGACTCTAAAAATAAGAATGAGCAATTATTTTGGCTCCTTGAAGACAAGACAAAACAAAGTGAACTTCAGTTACATTAGAAAAAAGGAATTTAGGTTATTTGGATGTCAAAAAGTGATCTCAAGTCAAGAGGATTTATGGACACTTGAAAAATGTAGTGTTCTTCTACTTAAATATACTTTAAGGAAGGAATTGACAACTACGTTTTTGAGATGAGTCATTTCCAATTTCTTACAAAGAAAAGTGACCAATTAGATAAGCAGAAAATATATTTCATTTCTTTCTATTTGCCATTATCATAGATTTATTGAGTCTCTACTAAGTAAAAATGCTGGGTAAATGGGGAATACTTGAGACTGCTCTTTCTTAGGGAGTTCACAATCTAGTAGGGGACAGAGCATGAGACATTATAATTTTGTGCACAATAAAATATTTGCACAAATTTATTTTGCTGCACTGTAATTCTGTACTTATTCTAGACGGGCATCTCCATGGAAGTACCAACAGCCCAGACTTTGACTGGATTTTTAAATCAGTGATTCTTACTCTGGCAGTATATAAGAATAACTACAGGAGTATTAAGAGTACCGATGCCTTCCTCTTCCAGGCAAGGTGGAGTGACAGGGATGGGGTAAACAACACTCCCACTAAAACAACCAAATGATGGAAAAAAACATATGAAACAATGGCTTGCATTACACTGGACACTGGGAAAAGGGGAAGTAATCTCTCTGAGATGGTGAACAAATAAGATGAGGCCTGTGATTGCCCCAGCTTATTGCCTTCAATGTTCCCCGGCTACAACATAGAGAAAGGAAAACCCATCAGAGTCCAAGGGACTCCTAGAGTTGAGGACAAAAAGTTCAGGGATACCAAGGACAGGGCACTGAAGAAGAGAAAACTGCATGGATAGAGGATCTCAAGTGATCAGATGGCTCTCTCGAATATTCACCCGAGTATGTGGGTATGCATGTGAGCAAACTACTCAGTATTAGTGAAGGAACCATGGCCAAGGATTAGAGATAAATATGTCTGGTATGCACACCTAACAAAAAATGAAAGACCTCAAGATTCACACAGTAGGGTCTTGCCTCAGCAGTGGAGAATAATCGTCTTTAGACCGAGCAATTCCCTAGTCCCACTTAAGAAGTTATAGAACCAAGACCCAACAGGACCACCAGACCATTTCTGAGAAATTTAACTGGGTCTTAGAATAAAGCTAAAAAATAGAGGAAAGCAAAAATATTCAGCTCTCAAAGATGTAAAATGCCCAATGTCTGGCATCCAGTAAAAGAAAAACTACCAAGCATTCAAAGCAGCAGCAATTTACCATCTCCCAGGACTTGACGGGGATTCGTCCTTTAGGAAACCTTGCTGTCAGTGTAATCTCCCAAGTCTCACACTCTGATAATCCGTCCATGGTCACTGCCAGGTCACATAGTTCTGGTGCTGCCTCTTCCTTCCTGATCCAACTACTGAGCCTCCTGATAATCCGTCCATGGTCACTGCCAGGTCACAGGCCCCACTGTCCTCTCTCCCACATAGTTCTGGTGCTGCCTCTTCTTTCCTGATCCAACTACTGAGCCTTTCCTCCTCTTCCTTAAGGCACAGTTCATTTATAAATGGTTTATGTTGAACAAATAACCTTACATCCTCATCCACTCCATGGAACATTCGATTCACCTTATCATGGGGACACCTTGTCAAGTAGACTCTGCTCCTTCTCCCACATCTAGGCTACCTCAGGGTTGGAGGAAGCACTCAACATTACCCTCGCTCCTCATTGTTGCTTTCAAGACCAGTATTCCTCCACTCTTTGTGCAAATCCCTGCTTTTTCTTGTGCATCCTCCTTCAATCCTTGTTTAAATGACCGAGTAATGATATCATTTAGGGAGGGTTCACAGCTTTATCTTTAGCACTGAGAATAGTGCCAAACACAGAGTAAAGCCCTCATTGAGTATTGTTGAATGCATGAGTTAATGGAAGGCTAAATGAAGATCTAAGGAACTCTTTGTGATAAAATTCTGGCCATAATAGTTTGGATGACTAAAAGGCCACATGCTGAAACCGTATCATTTAGTCCTTCAGTGTATTATTGTTAATGAACTGTGGTTTATGCTGATTATAGTTCCTCAACACTTCTTCACTTGTTGTGAAACTGAAGGTCCTGTTTGGTACATGGATCAATGATTCTGAAACAATTCTTTTTATGGGGCCTCTTTTGTCATAAATTTATTTCAGAGAGTATTTCTTAGAGAAAGGTTGCCTCCTCTGTGGACTTGCCTATCCTTATTTCTGTTGATAAATGCTCCATGTTTCTTCTTCTCAGCTTCGTGTGTTGAGCTCAATTGCAACTGCATTGCCCCTGCTGGTTAGCATATTTACCACCCCCTTCCTCCTTCTATTTTCCATTTTAATCTTTTGTTGCTTACATTATGTGTCTTTTGCAAAAGGCTTTGAATGAGTGAATGAATGAATGAATATGATAAATATACACTCCAACCACTAAAATGGGAAAAATATTATTACTCACTCTGTATGCTTGGCCAATTCCTCCATTATCAGCAATGTTTTCTCCCAGCGTATTAATTCCATTGATCTGTTAAAAACAAAAAAAAGACCCTTAACTACATTCTGATTGTTAAAAAGCATCAGTAATTCACTAGATTTGATA